CCACCACCACCACCACCACCACCACCACCATCACCCCCACCACCACCACCACCACCACCACCACCACCACCACCACCACGATACCGACGACTACTTCTGCAACTGCTACTTGTATCTTCTACTGGTGCCACTATTTCTGATATGGAGAGCTATGACAGTTCCAATGGTGATCAACCGAGAATGGCACTAGTGAGAATCGCACTTGCCTCTAATACCTGCGCTCGGTAAGTTCGCTCTGCGATGCATGAGGCGAGCCAAGTGGTTACGATTTCACGAACCTCATTGAAGTTATCAAGCATCACAAGCCCGATGTGCTCATTGGGGCATCTTGCTTTACCTCAGAAATCGAGCCCGAAAGGCACTGTATTGTTGGGATTTCATGCTGAGGCAGTTGGTCGGGCACCGAACTGCTTCAACAGACAAGTCGTCGAAGCCATGCTGGAAGTTCAAAAGAACAAGCCTGGAGGATGCTCGGCTGGATCAGTTCTTTAGATCGAGCCAGCGCTTCCATGGCCATACTTGATGCTTTCTCTGAGACTGAGGCGGAGGACGGCCCATTATTTTCGCCCTCTCCAACCCCATGACCCAAGCAGAGCTCACAGCAGCGGATTGCTACAAGTTCTCCGACGGTCAAGTGCCTGCCTTGAAATCAGCACGTCTTGTGTTTAACCAGCTTTGCTCCAGCACCTGCAGCAGTGCAGTCGAAATTCGAATGCTACCGCACACCATGTCAGTGTTCAGGCAGCGACTTCTTGCTCTATCCCCGCGCGAGTTTCGTGAGTAAGCATGAGTCGTGTCAGTCATTGGTCCCGTTGCAACCGTACAGTGCAGTAATAAGACAAGGGATCGCAAAGCCGAGACGAAGAGTCGGGCGAGCTGAAGCCAAGAACCGAGCTGCGAAGCATTACGAAACTAGCTAGCGCACTCATTGCCGTGTGGCAGCTCGACATCGATAGATTCCGCGACCTAGTATTTCTCTATGTGCTGCCCTTGTTTTGTCGCAGACAGATGTTTACGTCTGTATCGAGGCAGCGTGATCATGTCATCGAAGGTCTGTGAAACCCGTGTACCCGTTTCCAAGTCTGAATCAGAGAAAATCCTCGTCTGAGCGCCACCCAGTGCAGCAAATTCGACAT